GTCAATTGCTTTTAATCATGTAATCAAAATACATAAATAATTAAAATCCCCAAAGTTAAAGAATAATCAAACCATATTATTTGGATTTGGGTTACATCAAGGCCTTAAGATGGATTTTAGCTACTTATGGAGAGGGAGGATATCTTCATTGATGTTGTATAAACCATCTCCATGGACCACCAAAAACTCCTTTGGATCTTTTTCTTCAAACTTCAAAACCATAAAAGCCGCCACAAGATCTGAAAATTGCCAAAGAGAAAGAGAGATAGATCTTAATGTGTCTTCTCAACTTCTTTTATAGTGGAGAACAAGTCCTAATACCTTTTGGATGAGTTTTACAGCTTTTGAGAACAATTGTGTCCATAAGGAAACAAAGAGGGGTGATTTTACATCATTCCCATATGTATTTTTAACTTCCAGGAGGTTTATGCTTGAGTACAAAACTTTATGCTTAAGCACAGCCTCAACGATTGGTTTTTCTTCAGCAAATTTGTCTGACATTATAACTTTATTTTGACATATTTAGAGTATGAATCTCGGAATTGCTATTAAAGACAAAAACGTCGGGCTTCGAGTCTTCTTTCCATAATCGCTGAGTTTCCTAATTTGGAGTTTTGAGTGAAAAGTTATACCTAAAATACTGCAGTAGGTCCAGAATTTCCATCAGTGCTCAAGCTCTGAGGGGTTGTTGTGCTTGAGCTCTAGGAGCTAAATTTTTCCAAAGCGTCTTTTTCTTTAACACCTAGCCATTTTTCTTGAATTTTATAATTTGTGCTCGAGTATAAAAAGTTGTGCTTGAGCTCTAGGGGCTAAATTTTTCCAAAGCGTCTTTTTCTTTAACAAATCTGTCTTGCAAATCTGTCTGGTTGAGCCCCAAATTGACCTAAAAGGCCTCGAACATCTCCTTAAGCACCGGGAACATCGCAATAAGCTCTAAATACATGAAAATGACCGCCTCTTTGGGTAAAAAACTACAAAAAGCAAATAAATAAAAATAAACATAAGAACGAAGATAAAAATATCAATAAAACATTAACATATGCACGTTTAAGGGATCAAATATGCATTATTTAGCGCTTATCATAGTGCATCAGATAAATAGTGCTAAATTACATATCATGATTTTGCAACAATGATTTTAACTCAAATTTTAAAAAATATCAAAAAATTTCGTTCTGGCAATGCTATAAGATATCAACAAAATGCATTTTTTCAAATTCTCAAAAAAAAAATTCTCAATCATTGTGACATTGTTTCTCATTCATCCTGCCCAAGCACGTCACAACAAAATGGTAGAGCTGAGCGCAAATTTCAACATATTTTAAACACAGTTCGCTCACTCACACTTTTTGCTTTTAGAGCATCTCTAAAGGGGTTGCTATATGGGCTGCCAATTCAAAATATAGCAAATGGGCTTCAAAATGGGCTTTCCAATGCAATGCTATTTAGGTTGCTACATTTTACCTTTGCTATTTCTTATGCTAATTGTAGAAAAATATATAGCAATTGTTATATGGGCTTGGGCCATAGAAAAGAAGCGGACCGGCTCCTATTTCTCTCTTTTATTTGTCTAGGGCAACAGAGAGAGAGAGAGAAGAGAGCGGCGGCACAAACACACAAGGAAGAGACCGGCTTTTATTTGTCTAAGGCAACAAAGAGAGAGAAGAGAACGACGACATAAACACACAGGGAAGACACCGGCGACCAGCGACAGAAAGAGAAGAAAAGGGGCATCTTGTATTTTCTCTTCCCCTGCATGTGTGTGTAGAGAGAGATGTGGAGCTTAATTTGATTTTTGTGTGTGACAGAAAGAGAAGAAGGAGCTTCCTGTATATGTGTGTCACACCAAACTTGCAATGACCCCAGGTATTCTTTCAGTTACTCTGTGTACATACATGGAAAAATTGATTCATTAATATTATTATTTTTTTAAATGATCGCAATACACATGAGGGAAATTTTGGGTGAATTGGGTCTTTGATTTTGCTTGATATACAACAAGATTTTTTTAGTTAGTCTGAATCCAGGCTTGTTGGTACTTTTACAGACATACAAACATGGTGTTGCTGTTATGTAATTTCCATGCTTCAAATGTGATCAATGTAATCAACACTTGCTTTTTCCCAGTTCTATTTTCAACTTTTATTTGAATATTTGGTTTATAAATTGGTATAATATACCAAATACTAATACATACTGATAGAATTTGGTGGTGGATATAGTAGATATTGGTGCCTCGGTTATTTTAATCCTGCTGTTTTCTTTTCCAAACTTTCAGACATGGAGGGTTTTGAAAGCTTTTATTTACTTCATGGTATCTCTTCCAGTTTTTAAGACTTTGTATCGTATGTTTTTGTTTTTATGGAAAAGGAGTGAATTAATTTTAATCTCATTAAGCATCGTCATGATATGTGAACGACATTATAGCATAATTGCCTTCATCTTCATATATTTTCATAACGTGTTTGTTCCCAGATTGTGGCATACATCGTTGTTGCACAACCCAGTTTTATACAACATTGTCCTACTAAATGAATGAAATGGTCCTCTGCTTTAGGCGCATGCATACACATAGATACAAAATAACATTTTGCATGAAATGCACCATTGGAGCAGAATTGTTAAAATGTAGCATTTTGTCACTGTAGCATCTGTCAAAATATAGATTTGGCATGCGAAAATAGCTTTTAGCATTGGATATGGTCTTACTCCTACTTCTTTTGGGGGGGAAACAACTATTACTGCTTTATACACTATCAATCGTGTGCCATCACCTCTCTTGCACAACTAAACACCATGTGAGCGTCTATTTGGCAAACCACCTGACTACAATCATCTTAAAGTTTTTGTGTGTGCCTGTTTTGTTCTTCTCCAACCCCACAAATGCACAAAATTACAACCATGTGCTCTATACCATGTTAGAAATAAGAGAGATTTGTATCGAATATGAGATTGGTTTATATAGGAGGGATTATGTGTGATGAACAAGTAAACGCTATATGCATATGGTAACTCTTTATATGGTAATCATAATCCTAATATATAATAAATTCTAACAACTGTCACAAAAAGGGAGGTCCGTGTGTATGAGTTTCATTTTTAGTGGAAGTCAAAGTAATTTTCCAAATCATAGGAAAGATCCCTGTAATTATGACAAACCGTAGGGAATATTGGTATAATTTACCCTTTATTTTGTTACATTACACTATTCATAAAACAAAAATAAAAGTTGTTGCCAAAACGGACTTAAATATTTGGTATTGATTTGGATAGGTTAGCCATAACCATAAGGCATAGAGAATACACGGTACTCTCATTCTTTTGGAAGTCACTCTCCCCATGGACAGTCACCAAACAACAAACTATTCACGCAGTTTGCATCTGATAGTGATGGGTTTGCATTTTGCATTTCTCCATATGTACACATGCATATAATATAATATAGGCAAAAAAGCATAAAACCCCCTTCAACTATCGAAAATTGGCTTTTTACCCCCTTGAACTACAAAATCGAGCAAGTCAGTATCACAAGTATCAAAATCGTGCATATTGCCCCCTGCCAGTCACTTTCCGGCACCTTTCTGGCCAACAATTGTTGCACATGACTTGTCCATTTTTTATAATACCAAGATTGCCCTTCATTATAACTGTTATAACCCTTTGCCTGTAAGAAGTCTTTTCCATTCATTTTAGCAAACCCATTTCTTCTTCCACGTGTGTTGTGCAACATAGTCTCTCTCCCTCTCTAATGGTACCAAGTCTCCAACAAAATTGCACAACAAAAATTTAAGGTCAATACATTAAAATAATTGTTTGTAGGCGTATGCAGCCATTTGAAGTAAAATGTTTAGGTGCAATTAGGTGTTTAATAATTATGTGTGTTAATTTATTTTAACTTCTATAATTCGGAATTTAAAAGATCATAAAAATAAATAAAGAAAAGTGAAAAGAAAAACTCTTATGATAAATAATTACAAGTATTTTTTTATAAAAAAATTAAAGTTTGTAACTCTCTATTTATTTTCAATAAATTTTTCAGGAAAAAAATTTACTTTAAATATATATATATTTATATATATTATATGATGAATTCCTTGTTTGTCAAAGAAAAAATTAATGGTTGCTCTGAGCATGACACAGAAAAATGCTCTTCCAAATGTCTATTGATTATACTTTTAATTAAGTAAAAAAAAATTAAAAATTAGCGTTTCATTTCAATCTCCTTAAAGGTAGTTTCGTAACAATATTTGCTTACTTAAGACACCAAATATACATAGGCACATAGACATATATATATACACACACACACACACACATAATTGCATACACAGAGAAAACAGAGATGTGAAATTAATGAAGAAATCATCCAATCAAACTCAACATCCCTTTGACAATCTGAAAGAAAAAAGGAACAAGATCATAAAAGTGAGGCTGTTACTCGAAGCAGACCCTAGCACCCATATGGCTCTCAACTAAAACACTTGGCAATTTTAGGAATACAAGAGCTATATTACACGAGGGGTGTTGAGCATATTTTACTCTTTTTTTTTTTTTTTTTCTCGCGTTTTTTAAAATATTAATTTTTTTTTTTTTCCTAGTTGGATACTTATACACGCATACTTTCATTAAGGATCGAACCCCTGACCTCTTTTTGAGAAATAAGGGCTTGATATCGCTAGACCACTGTCTATTGGTAAAAAAATGTTAATTATAATGGGAATGTTTGTAAATGTATAACGACCTCGGCCAAAAAAGTGCTGAAAGTGACTGGCAGGGGCAATATACAAGTTTTTTATTGTTGTGGCACTGATTTGTTTGATTTTGTATTTTAAAGAGATAAAATGCTAATTTTTAATAGTTGAGGTTTTTTTTTGTTTTTTGTTTTTTTTTTTATATATGTATTTTTGCCTGATATATGTAAACACATATCCAGCTGTTTTAAAACGTGACGGTGCTCATGGGACTTGCGCGTCATCTCCAACCCTCATTTATTTTATTTTATTTTCTTACATAATATATATTATATATTGTTTTAAATATTTTCCATACAGCTCTTACTTCTACTGCCCTGTATTTTCGGTTGACGCTCGAATTCATTCCCAGAAATTTCTCTATTGATCCAGGAAAACTTTTTTTTTTCTTTCTCATCATATTGACTTCCTTAAAACCTGTATTGTAACTCAAATTCTTGCACATATATATATATATATCACTAGATCGGAATATGTAATAACACAATTCTTATCAGGTAGTCTCATTTTTCTTATTATTAGTATTATTAATTCATGGATTCTCACTGATCCGTACTTTATTATGATATCGATTTGGGTTGGGTTTTGTAATAAAATGATTCTGTTTTGCTTAAATTGCAGGAGTTTCGTACCAGTTGTGTTTGTTTTTGGGCAACAATTTGGAGTCTATTTGATTCGATGAAGTGATTTTGAGTGTTTGTGTATGAAGTAGCTCTTCTGAAAGGAAATTTTTTTTAATTTTTTTATTTTAACGCACGTTGTTGGCCATGGACAGTCGCATCAATACAGATATAAGTCCATATTTGAGGTTACATTCTCTCCCAGATACATACTTTGATTTCTGTGTTATTGATACTGAATTGGAATTCTCTTGTTCCTGTACTTAAAAATTAATCCGAGGGCTAATACAATATCCAATGAGAAAATCGTATCACTCCCTTAATTTCTTGGTTGATCCATTTGCCATGAAGTTATTCCACTTCAAAGAACATAAACATAGTTCATGAATAATAAGTATAAGATAAATTGATTTATATACACATACAAGTATTGCGAATTCCAGATTGTGCAGTTCTTTAGTTAGTTAACCTAGGAAATGTTTCATATTTTTAGCAAGATTTTTTATTTATTTTTTGAATCCAGGACCAGAATACGCCTCATAGGGGTAGAAGGAGAAATGGAAAATGTTCACACTCTTAGTTCTCTTTTTTTTGGGTATATGATTACACTCATAGTTAAGAATGTAGATTTACTACTTTATCTATTCTGCATACACCTATAACATTTAAATGCCACATTTTTTGATTCACAAGGGACTTTTGAACCTTAACTCTCTGGAAAGTCAAGGTGAAGTCCATTTTAGTCAGTTCAATTCATTGTTGCCCTACAAGTTAGTCTATGACACAAACTTCTTAGAATTACTTGTACTGTTTTCTATTACCTATAGCTGTGATAGCATATGTAGTCTCAAATACACTGTTTTTAAAATTACATATTGAGTTTTGGGGTTGACATTTTTTAAAGAGAGTGAAACTTATTTTCTTCTCTTTCTGTAAATATGTAATGATGGTGATAGACTAACAATTGCTGAAAAATGCTGCCTTAAGCAATATCTAATGTCTGCATAGCTCTTGCAGGAAAAAAGATGTGTATATTTGTAAGGACTCATTAGTTATTAAAAATCTTATAACTGCAATGAACACATTTTGAATTTTTAATATAAAAAATAAATTGTTTTTCATCTTATGCAACTCAAATTTTTGCTGAAGTAAGAAAATGATAATTTCTTGTTCAAATATGGCTTCAGATCCTTTGTCTGATTTCTTTGGCTAGATTTTTCCATTGTAAAGCATGGGTATGCCCTTACTTTATTCTTTATACCACTTTGTGATGTTTGAAGCCCGAATTTGGTGTCAGGATGTGACCCATCGGAATTTTGACCCCTTTTTGCTTGTGGGACGTGGACCCTAATTAGGACTCTCTTATAGCCCGATAGATAAGGGCGTTTAGGGAGTGGAAAGAGATTGAGACATTGAAAATCGTACAGAAAGAAAGCGAGGGGTTGAAAACTTGTAATCTCCTATTTTTCGCATAGTGAAAACTTTCGCCGGATCTCCACCGTGGATGTAGGCATTGCTGAACGACACTAAATATTTGTGTTCTTTGTGTGTGGTGTGATTACTTTCTGGATTTCTTCTTTGGTTCACTGCGTTTGTCATAACACATTTTATTCTAGTTTAAAAAATTTTCTCACTCATTCAGGAATATATATATATATATATATATATATATATATCTGCAGATGAAAGAAAATGGAGGAAAACCTTATCGAGATGAGCCTAAGGAAGATGAAGTGGAACTCTTAGTTTCACTATAGAATCAACCAGTTTCTCCTTGGGTTTAACGTCATTGTTATCTTCTTTAGACTCGTACTGAGCATCACTATCAGGTAGCATTTCACCTGGTATCAGATCCTTCTTTTGACTGGTCACCAAACAGATTTTGCATCAACTGTTGCCTCTTCTCTTCCTTTACGGCTTTCTCTCATTAAAATTCTGCTGCCTTTTTCTTGCTCTGTTCTTTCTTCTCTCTCTAGCTCTCTGGTGAATTTTCTTTCTTATTCTTCCACACGTTTTCTTCCTTAGACATATATAATGTATTATGAAGAGCTTCATGGCTTACCATATTAGATGCGTTGATTACCTAAAGACCAACCTCCAATTGATTCATCACTTCTCAATTGCTATTGGGTTGCTTCAAGTCCACCCATGCCTGAGCTTTTTCTTTCTTTAACATTTTCCTTTTTGCCTCTTTTTCTTCTTGTCTTCAGTTATCCAGCCCACAATCCATTTATTTTCAATTTCCTACGGACCAGCCTCTATTCAGCTGTTCTAGTTATAAAACCAGCTCTCTATTCAGTCATTGTATTATTGGGATGCTATTCAGCCACAAATTGGTTATATTAGCAGCTCAATATGTTAACTTTTCTTGCAAAGTTCTTCAATGTATATGTGTGCTTCTGTGTGTGTGTAAAAACATGGATATACCTTGTTGTGGAACATCCCTTCATATTTACAATCCATAGTAGGTAACTATTACTATATACGTATATATGTGTAATATAATTGCCATTGCTTAGCTACTACCACTATTTAAAGAATATTTAATTGTTTTTTATCAATTGAACAAAACTTTGTTTGAGGATAAGAGTATAAAAACACGTGGTCTTGGTGGGTCCTCCACCACAGCCTGTAGTTAGGACCTACATTAGGTTTGTTTAGGGAAATCCTTACATTTTTGTAATTAGTTTTATTTATTTATTTATTGATATTGAAATTAGGAAGTCATATTAAATAGTATAGTTTAATCTAACATAACAATCAGGATACAGTTCGCTACACCACTGCCTTTTACAATTTTATACTGTTTGTGATGTAGTTTATTTGCTGCCATCTCATATGGAATCACTTCAATGGCCATGGTCTTTATAAATAAGGCAGTTCTCATGCAGTACGTGCATTCAATGACACTTCTCACACTCCAGGTATTAGTCGAGCAAACATATATAACATTTCAATACATATTCTGTTCTTTTATTTTTCCTTGCTGAAATAACTTTTATGTCTTGATTATTCACGAGAAGATTATTTACTATTTTTGCATTTCTTTAGCAATTGGCAACAACTTTGCTTATTTACTTTGGTCGAGTGATGGGTTACACAAAAGCCAAAGGACTAAATATGGCAACCGCTAAAAAACTTATTCTAGTTTCAATATTCTACAATGCAAATGTGGCGTTTGCTTTAGCAAGCTTGAAAGGAGTAAATATTCCTATGTACATTGCCTTAAAGAGACTTACACCACTTGCTGTATTGATAGCTGGATTTTGTACTGGAAAGGAGAGACCTTCAACACAGGTTTGTGGTGGACCTTTTTAGCATTATCACGTAGATCGATTACTTCATAAGTTCATATTTATGAATCAATAGACAAAGTTTATTATTTCCGTATTGTTATATGTTACTATTTCTGTACTGCAACTGCTGACCATTTTGGGATCACTATTTTTTGTTACTCCCTGTCTTGGTGTTATCGCAACAGCGGTCTGATTTGAAACCTTGATTTGAGCTGAACTAAATTCTCTACCAAATCTTTTGAAGATTTATTCTTTCAAAGGTCCTAATTAACTAACTTCCCAACTATTATTTCTCAGGATTACACAGCTCTATCTTTCCTAATAGATTTCGGTGCTAGTTGTTTAATAGCAAGTTCAGTACACTGTTAATTCATGAATCATCTTTTGCCGTTCAAAAAAACATTTGTCCTATTTTCTTCTCCTTTTTGGAATCTTCGGAAGTCGTGAATATTATATCAATTTACTGGAAAGAAGCATCTTAAAGACTCCTGCTTCTGTATTTTTATACCCTGCAACCTCCTCTCAAATTAAAGTAGCTCTTTGTTTTCCTTTTGGTATTATTTCAGGTAACTCTTTCTGTATTATTAACCGCTACTGGAGTTATCATAGCAGCGCTGGGAGATTTTTCCTTTGACCTTTTTGGATATAGCATGGCCCTTATTTCTGTTTTCTTCCAGGTTAGTCTGTGTCCTTTATTTATTTTATTTTATTTATATATTATTATTATTTTTTATTTTTTTGGGGTGGGGGTTGAAGGATGCACATCTGATAGCTTCAAGACCATTTTTTGAGATTTCCCTTTGGAGCTTGTAATCCGCCTTCTTTATGATTAGCCGTGCCTAATTTCATTTGCAGACCATGTACCTTGTGTTGGTGGAGAAGTCTGGTGCAGAGGATGGGCTTTCATCAGTTGAAATCATGTTCTATAACAGCTTTTTGTCTTTACCTTTTCTGCTTTTTCTCATCATAGCTACAGGAGAGTTTCCAAATTCTTTGTCATTATTATTTGCAAAGGTCAGGATCCTAACCCATATTCACTATATTATAATACCATAATGCATATTTTTATGCTTTTGCCTCCATAATTTACTTATATTTTTTAAATTCAAAAAATGGAACCCATTAATGAACATTCGTTGTCGTTCTGGTCAAAGAAAAAGTGCCTTAGTAGTCACTTTCTCTGGCAGAATTGCAACCACCTACTTTAACTCGAACACCCCCACCCCTCTTGTCAACCATTGTCCTCCTTACTCTTTATGTAAACCTCCTCCATCGACCACCAAACTCACAACCAGCATCACTTTCAGAATCCCTCTCTCTCCCCGCCATCGTCCTCCTTAGTCTTTCACTAAAGGTCCTCCATCAACCATTCGAGTAAGTGAAACCCCGTTGGCATCACAGTCACGCACTGCATGACTAGCTCATACTGTAAACCCTCATCACGATAATCACCTCTGACATCTAAATCAGCCACTAACACTACCATTCGTTACCTCCACCTTTGCCCATCAATGCCCAAACCATCAAGAGCATCCACTCCCCTGAACCATCACCTTTAGTTCTATTTAGCTCTGCTGTTGAAAAGAATTGATGCAATCATGAACTTCAACTCAATCAACTTCTCCTTCGGATTGACCTCTATCACCATCAATTTTGCTCACCTTTAGCAACAAAAATCCCCTTCTTCACTCACCCACAATTATCATCATTGGAGCTGCAACTTCTTTGGATGTTGTTTCAGGTGAAAGAGGTCGACAATGGCAATCCAAAGATGGGCATCATAGGAGCACTGCAAGCCTGGGAAAATAATTTCTCTAGATTTTCTATTTTTATTTATCACTCAATTCAAATTCAACACTGCCATAACCAGGTTCACCTAAATTCACCCCACTACATGGTTGCTCTCTCTCTCCTCCCGCCATCGCCAAAATTCTTATATAGAAAATTAAAATTTCTGCAAACATTATAGATTACTCATTGTGGTTGCTGAAGTGCAGCCAACAGTTGCCAGAAATGGAAGTGGAAGTTAGTTATGGTTGGTTTCTGTGGGGTTTAATGAGATAGATAAAGAAGAAGAATGGACGGTAATTAAGGGTATACTTTACACTAGACCTCTCTCAATAGGATTTTTTTTTAACTATATATTCTTTGACACTAAGAAGGGGAAAAGGGTCTATTTGCGAAAAAGAAAAAGATGACATAAGTAAATTTTGTTCATTGAACGAATGGAAATGTTGTTGGCACTGAAAGTAATTTCTCAAACCAAGGGAGAGCTCATGTAATCACAGGGAGGTCTATGTAATGAACTCTATATGATATCACACTTTTCACCTTCTGGAAAAAAATATCACACTTTTCTGTTCCATCTTCGCTTGGAGCCTCTATAATTAGAAGAGATATTCTTCGTCAAAGTTATTAGATCATAATTTTTTTTATCCTAAGCTTATTGTATCATAATATATTAATATAACTAGGCCAAAGTTAGGTTTGTATCAATCCTTTCCTCCCTTTCCCCTCTATTAACACAGGGACAACATTGGTTAATGAACTTTGGTTGTGGTGGTTGTTACGAATTACACAGAGAGAGAGAGAGAGAGAAAGAGAATTTTGGGGGTATTCTCTATTATAGAGAATATATATATATATATATATATATATATTTACAAGTATGGCTTATTACAAAATGACCCCCAACACTATGATAATTATACTATTACGCATCACTCTCCATCAAGCTCGGGCATAGATTCTATCATTCCCAGCTTGTTATATAATTCTGAAAATTGAGACTTTCTGAATGCCTTGATATAATTAATTTTTGGATGTCTTTTTTTTTTCTTTCCGTAGTTGGTAACTCACACACACGTCTCTTCTGAGACTTGAACCTCTGACTTTCCTTTGGAAAGCAAGAGGCTGATACCGCTAGATCACTGGCCCGTTGGTATTTTTGGATGTCACGTAAGTAGTAACTATCCTTTTACTTATCACCAAGTCTCTCATAAGGTGACAATCTATCCCTATAGGGCATATATATCTATCATTCCCAGGTTGTTGCCTAAATCTGAGAATTGAGACTTTCCCAATGCCTTGGTAATTATATCTCCTAATTGATCTTTGGATCTCATATGAGTAGTAAATCTCCTTTTACTTATACGTTATCACCAAGTCTCTCACAAAGTGACAATCTATCTCTATATGTTTAGTTCTCTCATCAAATACCAGATTACTAGCAATGTAAATAGTAGCCTGATTATCACAAGTCATTCTCATAGGCTTGTAGTTGGAAATTCCCATCTCTGGTGAAAGAGATTCCGCATTATTTCCTGTTGGGATTTGTGTCTCAAATTCCTATTCTAATTTGGTTTCTATTTTAGAGTTGTATTATTTAAGGTAATTTCCTGTCAGACAAGTCTTGGGCTTCAAGAAATTGTAATCCTTGTCCAACAAGGAATTGTGTTTGTAACTCTATAAATAGATACCTGGGTTATGGGTTGAGACTTATGAGAGAGAGAGATAGTTTCATGAGGGAGTTGATGGGTAGACATAGTATGCGGGTTGGTAGAGTAGGACAAACACTGGTGGCACTGGTAACGAGGAGATAGGCTCGTGGAGTGGTACTTGGTGGAAAGACATGTATGTGGTGTTGGTTGAACCATGTATATCTTGTGTTTGTGTGTGATTGCTTTGTTTGCCTTTCATTGGATCTCGTTATTCATGCGCTTTCGCTGCCCCAACATTTCCCAAGCTATATGGGCCATTGCTCGTACTTTGCCTCCACACTTAATCTGCCAATGACATTTCGCTTACTCTTCCATGATACCAAATTACCTCCCACAAGTGTGCAATATCTAGATATAGACCAGCTTTCCATTTGGTTGATTGTGTGAACCCAACAATATCATGTTTTTAGAGGACTTAAAGACAAGCCCTTTACTAGGAGCTACTTTCAAGTATCTTAAAATATGAATATTGCATCCAAATGAGGTTGTGTGGGTTGCTGCATAAATGAACTTACCACCCCTACATTAAGGGTATCTTTGGTTTCGTCACAGGCAAATATATTAATTTTCCAACAGGTCTTTGAAATCTTCCTGAAGAAGTTTTCCATTGTCTAGACTAAACTTTATTCTTGAATTTATAGGAGTATGATTTGGTTTAGCTCCTAACATTCATGTCTCACTTAATAAATCACATACATACTTCCTTTGAGATATGCAAATTCCTTTATGGGATGTTGGTGCCTTCATTCCTAAAAAGTATCTCAACTGACCCAAGTCTTTCATATGAAAATACTTACTCAAAAATTGTTTCAAGTCATCAATACAACTTTTATCATTCCTTGTCACAACAATATCGTCTACATAAACTGCTAGGATGATGACCGCTTTTGTAATGTCTCCCGAAAGCAGAGTGATTTGATGTAGTTTAATCCATATTTACTCACCACAATACTAAATTTGTCAAACCATGGAGACTGTTTTAACCAGTATATAGCTTTCTTTAACCGGCACAACAGATGTGACTCCCCCTGAACAACAAACCCAGGCGGTTGCTCCATCTAAACTTCTTCTTGAAGATCTCCATGTATAAGAAGATAGTTGAGATTTGAGTATTGTGTCTCTAGGGTTAGAGAGGAGGAGAAGAGAAGAATAATAAAAGAAGGAAGAGATAAAGTAATAGAATGCGATGGATTTCTACACCACCTCTTGCATGTATATGTTGATCTCAACCTATATGCTTGGTACGCTTATGAAAAACAGGATTAGTAGCAATAAAGATAACGGTTTGATTATCACAATGCATTAGCATTGTAGAAAGAACGTCAATACCCAACTCTTGAAGAAGAGACCGAACCCACAACATGTCAAAAAGCAGTGTGAGCCATAGCAACCTCAACATTAGAACGAGCAACTATGGTATGCTTTTTACTACGCCAAGTAACAAGATTACTGCCAACAAATGTGCTATAACCAGTGGTAGAGCGCCTATCAGAGGGACTGCCAGCCCAGTCCGCATCACTAAAGCTGTCAGATAAGGGAGGAAGAAGGTTTATACGACAACCCTTTTCCAGGCTGTGAGAGTTGCATCAGCTCAAAAATGCGTAGGTACATGCATACTGAATAACAAGGTATGAGCCGCGTCCAACGGATGGCGGTGCTTACGTTCAGCAACACATTTCTGTTGGGAGGTGTGAGCATAACTATTATGATGAATGATACCACGATTAGCATAAAAGGAATTCATGATAAATTGTGTATACTCCAAAACATTATCAAAACGAACAACTTTAATGCGTTTTCCAAAACAAAAATAACGATATGAGGTAATTCTGATATCTCTTTTAGCAAAAATAACCATGCCATGCCATTCGAGAATAATCATAAACAAAAATAACAAAATAATGAAATCCATTCAGGCGGTTTGAGGAGGACCTAGATGTCCGTGTGGACTACATCAAATGACTCAGTTTGGATGACTAGGACTATGACTAGAATAAGAACTACGGTGATGCTTGCCCAACTGACAAGTTGACATACTTAAATAGACGCATGACTTAAAGTAGGAATAACTAATAATTTGGCCTAAGTTGGGTGACCCAAATAAAAATGCCATTGAAGAGGCGAGACAATAGCACTTAAGGTTGATGACAAAACAGATGGAGGTTCTCCAAAATCCAGATAATAAAGCCCGTCCAATCATCTTCTTATTTCAAAGGTCATGAAAAACACATGTTGTGGGAGAAAAAGTTATAGGAAAGTGTAATGTGTTGGAAATTGTGTCTCAAATTCCTATTCTAATTAGGATTCTATTTTAGAGTTCTATTCTGTTAGGTAATTAAGGAATTGTAATCCTTGTCCAACAAGGAATTGCGTTTGTAACTCTATAGATAGGTACACATGTTGTGGGTTGAGACTTGTGAGATTGAGAGAGATGTAGTCTCATGAGGGAGTTGATGGGTAGAGGTAGTATGCGGGTTGATAGAGTAGGAAGAACATCGGTAATGCTGGAAGCGA